CAGGCTGGCCTTGAACTCACAGAGATCCACCTGGCTCTGCCTCCCGAGTGCTGGGATTAAAGGCGTGCGCCACCACCGCCCGGCCCGAGAACTTTTTTTCTTTATGGCGCTGGGCATCGAGCCTAAGGCTTCACTCATGCTAGGTGGATGCTCTACCCCTGAAGCTACACCCCAGCGTGACATCATTTCTGAAGCCCACTGTGGGGAAAGAACGGCCCAGAACTTGGGGGAAGCAGTGGGGTGGGTGCCGGATCACCGGGGTTACAGTCAGTCTCCCTGAGTGGGTGGAGGCTCAAGAGTCAGTCGTTGACCCCAGGGGATAAAAACACTCATCACTCTGTGAGGACTACCTCAGGCATGGACTTTCTTTCATTTTAGTGCGATAGAACCCAGGTTTCAATGAGGCTTGGACTTTCACTGGAGAGCACAGACAATGAATCAGAGAGCCCAGGTCTAAACTTTGCCTCCGGCAGTAATCCCAGCGAGTTATCATACGGGCCATCTTCAGTTACACTCTGAGGAGTGACCCGAAGCCGAAGGTGAAGCAGCAGGCCACAGCGCCTCCACTCTGCCTCTCTTGACTCTCCGATCCTTAAGCCAGCTCTCCAGAAGACAGCCCCCCACTAGCTGGGCAGCAGACCCTGGCGGCTGAGAAACCAAAAGATGCTCTCCTTTCTTCAGTGTCTGGGGTCTGTGCTCAAGAAATGGATCCCCTTCTGGGTCGTTCACATACAATTCAGTAGGCACAGCCCAGTCTGTACAAACAGGCCTGGCAGAATCCAGGCAGCCAGGGGCATTGGCTCCTTCCCTTTACATGGGAGGAAACAGACTCATTTTCTAGGCTGATCTTTACCCAGCTCATGTCCTCACCCCGTAAATGAAGTGCTAGAAGTAAAAGTCATTCAAGCTATGGCTACCCTGGCCCTACATCCAAGTCTAGGACCTAATCTTGGTCCCTCCTCTATTCTCCCTTCTTGGAGAGATCTGGCCCTGTGGCTGCCAATGGCTATCCTGTTCACACATCTAGTCTCAGAAAAGTACTAGCAATACCACTACATTTTCTAAATGCCTACTGTGTGCATTGCTCTAAGGATTTTAAATACTAACCCACTGTTTTTAATCTTCTTAATGACCACTTTCCTGTCACTTAGAAGAGCTCCTCGCCTGCTGGGGGCTCAACTATTTGTGGATGAACGAACATGGTGGGCACTAGTGTGGCCCCATTTGACTGAGATAGTTAGCCACAACTAGTAAGCAGAAGAAACTGAATACTAGGCAGTCTGTCCTCACGACATAAACATAACACCACTACTACTTATTTACTTCTCCGAACGGCAGGTTTAGTCAAAATGGGAATCTAGTCTTTATCAGGATCACATCATAGTTTAGCTGTTATCACTAAGGGGACAAGAAAACCTAACAGATAAAAAAGGAGAACTGAGTGTGGGAGAGAAAAGCAGTGACTGGTACAGACTGGAGCCCTCGGGGGCTGAGCCGCCGTCCTCTATTCACAGTGGCTCTCCAGCATGACTGAGTCCCTGGGCATCCTCTCAGCACAGCCAGGGAAGAGAGTTATGTGGCCACCTGAGTTAGGAAAGCAGCAACATTAGCTCCCAGGACCGGACAATGGTAGGGGCGAGGTGGGGCAGGCCACAGAGATCAAAGCGAGAATGCTGGAGTTGGAACTAAGCAAAGCAAATAAATAGTGTCTCCTGCTGTAAGTACGCCTAGCCAGGAGCACTGTGTACCAGCACAGAGCGGGTCACTGCCCAGAATGGCAGGGCAGGAAGAGTCAGGTGAGCCCACTGCAGAACCCTTTCATCTGATTAGCCCGAGATAATTCGAGCCAGGGAAAAGGGGACTGGGATTACAGAGAGCAGGCACTATAGGAGGAGGTGCAGGGGATGGACTCAGATCTGAGTCAACAACACAGCCGTAAATAAAAGTCCTACCTTTGAGAATTCACATTTGCATGTGTGTGATAGGCAGATATTTATTGTTTGGTTTTGTGTTTCAAGAGATATGAAGTTACAGAATTACAAACCAATGGTGATAAAAATTCAGAGAAGAAAGGGGTGAATTCCAACTGAGAGTCCTGAAAAAAAGCCTCACAAGTGGTGACATCAAGGGGAGCTTTGAAAGGCAGACTCGGAGCATAATGGAAACGTGAGGTACAAAAGTGTGAAAGAATGGGATGTGCAATGCAGAGTGCAACCAGAAAGCTAAACTCACACCCACTGGATTGCAGCCTGCTTTCTCTGAATCGGGGTTATGCCCATGGAGATTTCCTTGTGTTTATAATTGGCTTTCTCTATTTGATAGTGTTTGCAATAGCTTCCTTGGTGCCCAAGTAATACTAAAACAATGATGTAGACTCAGAACTTCCTCTGGGTTCCACTTTTAGATTTTCTGTTACATTTATTTCAACTCCTAGTCCTTCTTCATTACTGACTTCAATAGTCACAAGTACTGCATAGCCCTCCCACCAGCCACTGCATAGCCCTCCCACCAGCCACTGCATAGCCCTCCCACCAGCCACTGCATAGCCCTCCCATCAGCCACTACATAGCCCTCCCACCAGCCACTGCATAACCCTCCCA